ACCTAATTCTGTTCCAAGATTTTGACAGCTGCCTGAGCTCAGTGAAGTATTATAGCTGCCTGCACAGCACGGACAACCCTGGGGGTGACCACTGTGCTGGTCAGGGCTAGGCTGGCACGGTCCGTGCGGTCAGCTTGGTGCCCGTGTGTCCGGGGATCCTGGCCGTGGTGTGGGTCGGGTGATCAGGGAAGAAGCCTGCATGGTTTTGACACCATCATCATGAGCCCTGCACGGCCACCCCTGTGCCTCCTGGACAACCCCTACTCCATAACTGGATGTTGGTGACACCCGTGTGTTCCACACCCTCCAGGACAACAATGACATCAAAAAAAAGCTCCCATATCTTGGGGATATTTTTAAACAGCAAGGCTTGGTCATCGAGACAAGCATGAGATGCCGTATGTAGTGCACGTCATCGAAAAAGCCAGTGCTTCCCTGAGCCCTAGAGGAAGCAGGCTTTGTTGCATCAAAGTGAAAAAGGGACAGAGAGGTGACTTCACAGACAGTTCTGAGCTGGAGCCCAGAGCATCAGATGGATTTCTGAGCAGAGACTTCCAGACTTTGCAGCCTGTAATGCAACTCTCCTGCAAGCACACTTCATGGAGGAGACCGAGCAGCAAGGAGGCCAGGCCAAGGTGGCCCGTGCCTTCCTTCACAGGTCACTGGGGCTGCTGGGGCTGGCAAGGTGGCTGCTTCTGCTTCTTACCCATCTGCTGTACCCACTAAGCCGCAGGTCTCTCTGCAGACGATGGACACCCAGAAGGTGTCCATGAAGGGCTGGATGGATCCCACCAGCTGCTCCTGTCCTGCCCTGGGCCTCGGGGAGCTGCCTTGCCAGCTGCGGCCATGCCGTCTGCTGACCTTGGGAGCAGCTGCCTCCGCCTGGGCAGCTCTCCGTGAGGGCTTTCTTATGAAATTGATCCATTCTCCAGGGCTGCCGTCTGTGCTTTCTGTTGCCAGGGCTTCTCATTAGTGGATGAAAACAAATAGCTCTGTGGTCAGAAGATAGTTTTTGAGTGACAGCTTGTTATCACACCAAGGTCCCAGAGGCCGACTTTGCCTGGATGCGTGTGTGCTGCCAGTGGCCCGCGCTGGGCGCCTCTGGGCTGGCCTGCCTTCGCTCTGCAGCTGCCCCTGGTACCTGCTTTCCTCACAGGAAACCACACTGCGCCTGCATCCTCCTCCCTGTGTACCTCAGACCCCCATCTTCCTCACATATGTGCCAGCTGGGCCGGGCCACAGGGCCACTTCTAGATGATACTGCGAAGGTGTTTGTGGGGTGAGATTATGTTTAAATCAAGACAGAGCAAAGCAGACGGCCTCCATGATGTGGTGTGTCCACCCAATGAGCCCAAGTTTCCTCCCCTTCGCTTAGTCTTTTCTGGCAGAAAGCAAGCTGACTCCCGCCCCTGCCCTCTGTCCGCTGAACTGCTCATTTCCAGCATAGCAATTTCAGATGTGCTAAATGCATGCTGAGGGGAAACCACTTGACCAGCAAACACAGTGCTTGTGCAGTTCCTGTCAGTGGTTGGCGCAGATGCCACTCACTGCCAGAGCTACTGCCCCCTCCCTTCACCCAGGGTGTTCCATCCATCGGTAGCAGCTGGATTCTCTGGGCCTTTTGGCTTTCCACGCTGGGATTTCCTGACATCTCCTGCAGGATCTTTTTGTGTGCTGCTAGGGATTGAGCCCAGGGCCGTGCTTGTGTGAGGTGATGCCGAGACCTCTGCATGCACGGAAACTCACTGTTCATGTTATAAATTCTGTGAGTTTTGACAACCGCACATGGTATCATGTAGAGGCTTCATACTGCCTTAGAAATCCTCTACAATGTACCTAGCCATCCTCCTACCTGCCCTGAAGTCCCGGCAGCTGGAGCTGCCTTCTGCATTTCCATATCTTTTGCCTTTTCTATAATGCCATATAATTGGAACCACACAGTATGTAGCTTTTTTTTTTTTTAACTTTGGTTTATTTCATTTGGCAACATCCAATTAAGAGTCTTTGGGTATTTTGCATGGCTTGCTAGATCACTGAAATTAAAAAAAAAAACCCACTAAACAATATTCCATCCTAGGTGTAGCGCGGGTTACTTTCCCCCTACTGAAGGGCATTGGGTTTTGAAGATGAAGAAGCTGCTTTGTGTGTTGGAATGCAGGTTTTTGTGTGGACATAAGTTTTCAAATTAATTGGGGAAATCATGAGGAGTTTGGTTGCTTGACCATGCGGCCCTGCTTCTAGGAGCCAGGCCGCCCCATGTCCCCTCTGCACCGACGAAGCTTTCCTTTTATGCTGCATCTTTGTCAGCGTTTGGGATTGTCAGAGGTTTCTGGATTTTGGCCCTTTAAGCAGGTTTGTGCTATTATTTTGATTTCTTTTGCCTCTGCCCAATGACAAGTGATGTTAAGGGTCTCTTCACACGCTTATTTTTCCATATGTAGAGTGCTGCCTCTTCAGATTTTTTAGACTAATTTTTAATTCAGTGTTTGTGCCCTCACTGTTGAGTTTTAAGAGTTTTAAGGGTTATGGGCTGGGGAGGTAGCTTGGCAGTCTAAGTGTCTGCCTGGCAAGTGCAAGGACCCGGGTTCAATCCCCAGTACCGCATGCTGTGCTGGCCCTAGAATCCCAGGTGCGCCATGCCACCCCCGGGCACGGTGTAGCATGTTTGTCATCCCAGCACCGGGGAGGCTGAGACAGGAGGATCACTGTGAGTCTGAACTGCATAGTGAGACCCTGTAAAAAACAAAAAGAGTTTTAAGGGTTCTTTGTGTATTTTAAATACGCAACTACTTCAATAGGTATGTGATTTACAAATATTTTCTTCTAGGCTGTGGCTCCTTTCCAACCTTTGAACAGTGTGTTCCACTGAGCAACCATTTTTCATTCTAAAAAAGCCCAAATAATTAATTCTTCTTTTATTGAGTTTCCTTTCACGTTATTTCTAAACACTCACAAGCAAAGTGAAGGTGACAAAATTCCTCTTAAAAAGTGTCTAGTCTGTATTTTACATGTAAGTGTATGATATATTTTGAATTAATCTTTTGGGAGGAGAAAGGTATGTGATCTAATTTTTATATATTAACTTTTTATCTTGTTGACCTACTATAATTGCTTATCAGTTCCAGATTTTTTTTTTGTTGTTAATTTTTGAAATTTTCCCCATGGACATCATTCCATCTGTGAATTTTGTGTGTATTCTTCTTTTCTAATAAACACAAGCTCCGGGCTTGCAAGGCAGTGGTCTAGCTCCTGTGGTGCATACTTTCTGGGGCAGCAGGTGGTGAGCACCCCTTCCTTGTGTGGCCTGTGGACAGAGGACAGTGGACAAGTCCCTCTGCCTCTGGCCATTCGTAGAAGACTCCGGGAGGAAGTCCAGAAAGACTTGCAGCGGGCCTGGGGGTGCGGCTGAGTGGTACAGTCCAGTATCAGTCTTAGCACAAAGGTGACCGCACATGCGTGGACCCTACACGGTGTCCCGTGGCTGCCAGGAGTGGGCGGGTCTACGCTGTTGGTTTACAGAACTGGCGTGCAGCACCTGCCCAGGGCTCTCCCTGTCTCTTCTAAGGTAGACAGTTCAGATGAGGAAGTGACTCTAGAAGGAAAGCTTCAAGTTCATCTCTCCAGCCCCGCCAGGGCCTGGCGCACTCTTGGTGAAACACGTTGTGTGCTGAACTGATACTTGGAGCCTGCAGGGTCAGCCCAACGGGGCGGGCCACGTGCTTTCCGGGAAGGGGTGGAGAGACTCTACAAGGCCTCTCCGCTGGGTTCAAAGCAGGGCCAGATACAGGTATTTAACTAAAGCCAAGGGAGGTGGCACCCCTGGGGCTTCCGGTTCTGCAGTCCTGCATTGTCCCCTGTCTTTCCTCACTATTGTGGGGTCACTGAAGTCCCTCTTCCCTCTGCTGGCCAATCTGTCCCCCACAGGACCACATAGAAGGAGCCTATCCCCTTTGTGTGTGTCGTCACCCCCCACACCTCCCATTCCTGCAGAGGCGTTGTGTAGGGGAGGAGCCCACCTGGCACCCGGCTTCTTTGGAGCTGGTAGAGCGGGACCACTGGCCCGCCGGAAGGGGGCGTACTGCACTTGGTTGGGAGCCGTCTATGCACTGTTCTGAGGCTTTACCCTGTAGCAACTGAGGCACAGAGACATTTTTATTTTGAAACTGCCCTGAGTTCCTGAGCTGAGACGCATCAGAACCAGGACTGAAACAAAGTCTGGTACCAGAACCAGAACCTCACTGCTACTCCTCTTTGTAAAAGACATCCACAGTGATGTCCAGGGAGGCCCACCGTGATGTCCACGGGGATGTCTACAAGGACACGCCTTGTGACGTCACACCTTGTCTGGGGCGATGCCCATGGCGAGGCCCACAGCTCACCCACAGTAACGTCTACCTCTTACCCACAGTTTGCCCGCAGTGATGTCTGCAGCCCGTCCATGTGGTGCCCAGAGTCCAGTTCACAGCGATCTCCACATGATATTTCCGGTGATGCCTGCATTTCATCCCCAGTGATGTCTGTAGTGACCTCCACAGGGGTGCCAGCTGGTCCACAGTAATAACGTAGGAAGTCTTATGGTACACCAGGGACGCAACGTGACCTAGACTTGGGAGCAGTGAGTCCTGCGAGGCTTTCTCGCCTCAGTCTAGGCAGGTACAGTGGCGTTCTGCTGAGCTGGTGGCACTCTGAGGAAGAAGAAAGATGCATGCAGAGGAGACGTGTCTGGGGACGTGAGGATCTCAGCAGCGGCACGTCCAGTCTCCACTTCAGAGGTGTTGTAGGCAACTCCGTGCTCCGAGGCCCAACAATCCCCCTTTAAACCGCTTCTGCGCTGGTGCCTGACCTGGAAATTCGGCAAGCCCTTCTCGGCCTCCATACACTAACCAGGAAACACCTTCACCCCTTCCCTTTCGTACCCTGCACTCTGTTTACCATAAACCCACTGACTGCTCCTTCAGAGCCTCCTGTGACTGCAGGCGTCCACTGTTGCATTCTGCCGGTTAGCGCTTGGGTGGCGGTGGCGGTGGCGGTGGCGGCAGCAGCAGCAGCTCTAGCAGAGGCGAGAGAGGCGAGGCGACTCATGACTCGTCCTCCTCCTTCTCATGCAGCCTCCACACCCCGGCTTCCTGGCTGACCTTTGCTCGGGACCACACATTCACAAAGGCTAGCTCTGCAAGCCCCCTAAGGGAGAAATGTAGACTTGGGATGATTGGTATCACTCCTTAGAGGTTTCCTCTTTAACTAAGAATTGGTTGTCTTCTCCCTTCCACTAAGACTAAACTAAAACCACTAAGATTAAACAACATCTCAGGACAAGATCCTTCTTAGTCTGGGTCATCTCCGCCCTCCCAGTCATCCCAGGATTATCTGTTGTCCTCTATGTCACTGACCTTGAATCTTTGAGTGTCTGTGTCTCTGCCCACCCTGAGGCACAGACCTCCCAGTCCCCTTCACCTAGGGCTGAATTTGTCCCTGTTTCTTTCTTTTTTTTATTTTCAAGGTTGATTTTTATTTTAATTTTATTTTTTTCAATTCCTCACAGCCCAATTTAATTAAAAAATTAAAATACAACTAGAAAACTTCTAGAAAAACATGGAGGTGGGATCTTTAAGACCCTGAGTTTGTAACTGTTTTCTTTTTTTTAATTTTAATTTTATTGAGAGACAAATATGAATGAAACAGTTTCAAAGCTGAATAATAGGACAGTTTCGATAATCAATACATTGTACATTGTTATCTTCTTAGTGGTTATCCATAGTACAAGAAGCAGACAGCATACCCTGTCCAAACACTATTAGTACACCTCTTTCTTCTCATTTAATTTAAGCAAAAGTAGCTGTATATCTATCCTAACTATTTTGTATGTATAAATACAAAATGATCTTTCCTTTTTTTTTTTTTTTTTT